CACTCACTCACCCACCCATCCAACACTCGCTGAGATCCAGCTGTGGGCAAGCCCACCATGAAGGTGCTGGGGATGTGGAGATAATGCCTGCACCCCCCCTTGGCAGTGCTAAGACGTAAGTACCCAGAGTTGGGGGCCTAAGGTGTAGGGCATGACCAGCTCTCCCAGGGCTTCCTGACGGAAGAAGCCATGTTGCGGAACCTTGAGCAGGTCGGAACTATGCAGAAAAGGGCAAATATCTGCAAAGCACAGCCACTGGAGCCTGGCACTTCTACACATAACTACCTCTCCTTTTGGCCCCTCCCCGGTGAGGCATGGTGGAGAGAACACCAGACCCAAAATCATGGCAATGAGTTTCGATCTCAGATCTGGCCCCAAGATGGGGGTATTTATCAGCACTGGGCCTGATTTTCCTTCCCAAGTATTGCCATGCTCCAGTTACTTCCTCCGGATGCCTCCTCATCATTCACCTGACCCCTGTTCAGCTCAAGTCCCGTATCTCCTCTAGGGCTCCCTAGAACCCAAGCCGTCAAGGATCCCCTCTTTCAGGGACGCGTGGGTGGCTCAGTCGGTTCGGCATCTGTCTTTGGCTCAGGTCTCAAGCCTTGCATCCAGCTCCTGGCTCACTGGGGAGCCTGCTTCTCCCTCTCCTGCCTACCGCTCCCCCTCCTTGTGCTCTCTCTCTCTCTGTCAAATAAACAAATAGATACAATCTTAAAAAAAAAAAAAAAAAAGGATCCCCTCTTTCCTCCAAATCTTGCCGCGCTCAACAGGCAGCCCTCAGGGTTGCATACTGCCAGTGGTCCTTCTGGCCTCCTTCCCCACCCGCTGCCCCACTGGCCCTTCAGCTCCCGGAAAGCAAGGACCACGGTCCCCATCCAGGACCTAGAAGGGGGAGTGCTCAACAGAAGACTTTCCAAGTGAGGCTGAATCAGGATTCGGTCTGATGCAACGTGACCAGCCTGCCAGAGATCCAGGCAGGGCCACACTCGAGGTAACTGGGTGCTCAGCTCTTTCCAGCACCAGGAGCCAGAAGTGGGAAACTAGATTGTCACATCCCTAGGGATGGGCTGTGTGGTTCCAGCTCGGAAACTATTCGTGCTAGCTCAAAAGGACACCCGAGATTAGAGGTTGGGGTGAGACATAACAAAGAGCATTCGGGAAGGAGGGACTTGTCTCTGGCTGGCTGCTCCTGAGGGCAACTATCCGGCTGGGCATTGGGGTCTGGCCTGAAATTGGTGACTGAGGGTCCAGGGGACCAGGGGCTGGTCTCCAACCCCTTTCTTGCTGGCTCATCCCAGCTTCCCAGAGAGAGTGGTCTCCAGAATTAACAAAGAAGGAAACAACCATGCATTGAGCACCTGGCCTGTGCAGGCACTTCGCAAAACACGCCTATCTCATGTAATCCTCATTGCAACCTTGCAAGGTGAAAATATCATCCTCTCCATTTTACAGACTCAGACACCACGGCCAACAGGTGAGGCAGGCCCGTCTCTGATATAAGAGGCAAGAAGCCCTACAAGTCATTCAGGGTCAGAACTGGACTTCTTCCCACGGAGGAGGAAACACAGACCTCATAGTAGGAAAAGGGATTAAATAGGAAGTTCTGGCCAGATATCAGGACCATCCCGTGATGGCTCGGTCAGCCCCCACTCCCCCCAGCAGGGACACTTAATACACTAGACAAAGCTCCACACTCTAGCTCTAATGCTGGGAGTCAAGTGGCATCAGCATTCGAGACGCTGGGCCTGGTACCAACTGGTCCAGCCTCTGTCCTTGCTGTCCAGCAAACAGGGCCTCTGACTATTCAAAGAAAGCCAGGCCGGGTTTTTCTTCTGGCTATCAGAAAGCAATGCAGCCCAAGGGCTGGGACGGAGGGGTGGCGGGGGGAGACAGAGCAGAACCCCGACTTCAGTATGCCCCCTCCTCCTCATATAGTTTCCCTAAAAATCAGCAAATAACCTTTCTGCATAGAAGGCTCTTAATCTTTTAAGATACATATTCACGTCTATTACCTCCTGGTATTCTCTTCCACCTTGAGGAGACAGGCAGGGCAGGGGTTTCTGGACTAATTAAAAAACAAGTGACACACAGTATTGAGGGAGGAGAGACCAGGATGTCCAGTTCTGGTGTGTTCTTTGCACTAGACCACAAGTTCAACAGCAAGTAGGTCATTCACAGTTTACATATAGTTATATATGGTCTAATTCCCCGGCTCAGAAACTCTGTGGTTTCTAAGCATAAACCAAAGAGATTGCCTCCCTTGTCACCAAATAACAGCTGCTGACATTGATCAGGCTCTTTTTACACGCCCCTGCTGTGCTTGAGCTTCACCTGCATCAGCTCCTTTAATCCTCACAATACGGTGAGGTGGGTACTGTTACCCCCATCTGACAGGGGAGGAGGGTGAAGCACAGAGAAGTGAGATAAGTTGTGCAAGAGGAAATGGGGTTGAGATTTGGGCCCCTGGGTGCTGGAGGCCAGTCTATTCACTACTCATGCGGACTCCCCAAGGTCCGGGAGACCTTGCTCCCAAAGAAACAAGAGCAGAACCCAAGCACGGAGTCCCAGGCTAGCGGCTGCTGTCCATTCGGTCTTGGGTGATAGACACAGTAAGTACTAGCTAACATTTATTGACCACTTATTACCTAAGGCACAAAGTCCAGTGCTCTGTATGCATGATTTAATAAAGCTCTACATTTTTCATATTTTACATATTACACATACAATCAGCTATTTAAGAAACAAAAAGAGCTACGGGGCTCCTGCCTGGTTCAGTCGGAAGAGCATGCAACTCTTGATCTCGGGGTCCTGAGTTTGAGCCCCAAATTGGGTGTAGAGCTTACCTAAATAAATAAATTAATTTTTAAAAAAAGAGCTATAACGTATTATCATTATTATTATCAGCTCCACTGTGCGGCCAGGGGTACGGAGGCTTTGAAGACGGACATTAAGTAACTTGTCCAACATTCCACGGCGGGTAGAACAACCAAGATAGAAAGCCTGTCTTTCTGACCATCTAGGTCCTTACCCGTAATGTTGTGTTGTCGGGCTCTAATGGTCCAAATGATAGTACTTAATCTCACCTTCCGAATCCTCAGACCATCCCCACCCTTCTGCCTTGTTCCTCCAAGAGCCCTGCCCAGGCTGAGAGAGGGGACGCCACACCATCCCGCCACCACTTGGTAGCCTGGAAGGACCTGGGTGGGCCACCAAGAGTCGCTGAGCAGTTCCTCCTCCTCCGGGATAACCCGAGAGCCGGGAGGGACAGGGGAGGTCACCACACCCTGCATGAGTACACAGGGAAACTTCCCCTCACACACCCCACACACATACTCTAATTGGGGCCTGTATGTCCACAGCTGTACATTCAGCCACAGCTGTATTTTTCTCTTCAGGCTCATCCTGCTGACTCAAGCTCCATTTTTCTGAGCACTTTTAGAAAAACAGAGTCCTGGCTCCATGACAGGCCTGGGGGGAGGAGATAAGGGAGGAATGAGGGGATGGGACCCATCCAACAGAAGGGCCTGTGACCTCAAATACCGGAGCACTCCCTCCCTAGGAGAAGCTGCTCCGTGCATTTCCCCAGGCTTCCTTTCCAGCCTGTCCCTCCTGGGCTCTCCCCTCCCTAGCCCCTCGTGCCAGTCCGTTCCCCAAGCCTTGGGCAGGTGAGCCCCACGCCAAGGCTATCTTGTTCTGAAAGGAGATCTGCTAGGTGCATCAAGAAAGGCAGCCAGAGGCCTCCCAGGGCCTCACCCCCAACCCTGAGCAAGGCTTCCAGGAGCCCAATAAGGGTGGCTCTGGGCCCCGGTGCACAGGCTTTGCCGGGCTGCAGGCTGCAGGGCAGCAAAACAGCAGCTGGGCTATTCTTAGTGTCCGCTCCACTGGGATCAGGTCTGTGTAACAGCTGAAGGGCAAGTCCTCACCAGGTACCCCCCGTGCCAAACCCCTCCCTAGCCCCAACTCTGGCCCCTGGAGAAAGGAGAAAGCAGGGTGGCAGGAGTAGCCCGGGGGGAGGAGGAAAAGCTGAGCAAGTCAAGAGTGTCTGTGAGGAAGATGGAAGCTGATTCAGAGGTCAAGGGCAAAAGCAAGTCACGGGGGCGTTCCTGCGCTTGAGGGGAACAGGAGACTATGGGAAGGACTGGCTCTCACTCCGGAGAAACGCTGCAGGTACCCGGGGAGCTTCTCCAGCAGGCCATGCGGCTGCCTAAGCCCAGAGCGCTGAGAACCCATAGCGGATGCCCAGGTACCATCTCATCACACCTGTTTGCTGATCTCTGCATTGTCACCGTCCCTACCTGAGGGCCACGGGAGGCGCGGAGAAAAGGGCCTCTCCTTTTCTCCCCCGCCCCCGAAGGATGACCGAGGCGGCAGGGCAGGGGGGCAGAGGAACCCACACACCTTCATACTCCAGCCTCAACTCTGCCCAGAGCCCGGCCCCAAGACTAAGGCTGAGAGCGCTCGGTCACCTCTCCCTCCCTCCGTAACCCCGCACTCCAGCCCAAGCAAGCTGGCCCGAGCCCGGGGACCCCGCGGCATCCCGGCCGCCGGCCCCTTTCCCGGCTCCCCAGTCCCGGACTGTGCGCGCCGCGGTGACTCATCCCGTCCCTTTCCGGTGAAGCCGAGACAAGGGAAGAAAATAAATGCAACTTTCCAAAGAAAACTCTGACGCTGAAGCTGCAACGGGAGCGAGCGGCCGGTCCGCCCGCCGTCTGCCCGGCCCGGGGCTCCCGGGAGGGCCCGCTCCCCACCCACCCGCCGCCCGGCGCCGGACAGCGGGGGGACCCGGCGCTCCAGTCCAGCCCGCCCTCCGCGGAAGAAAGCCCCGCTCCGCGGGGACCAAGAGGCAGGACAGGGGGGCGCGCCCGGGGCCCGCCACCTCCCCCGAGAGTCTCGCGGGGCGCAGAACACGCCACCCCGCGGAGCTCGGCCGCGCGGCGCCGCTCCCTCCCCCGCGCCGGGGGCCCCCTCCCCGGAGAGAGGAGGGGGCGCGCGCCTACCTGGCCAAGGCGTGCGGCTGTCACCCGGGGCCGGCGTGTGCGAGCTCGTCCCACCCCCACCCCGCCTCCTCCCAACGCGCGCCAGCCGGCCGCTTTTAAATCTCCAGGTTGCTCCGCGGGGGGAGAGAGCATGCGCGCTGGGGCTGCGGGAGGGGGCGGGGCGAGGCGGGTCGGGGGTGGGGGGTGCGCGAGGGCTGGGGAGGGGTGGGGCTGGTCCCCGGGGGAAAAAAAGCGGGCGGTCTCGGAGAGGTCTTTGTAGCAGCCACCGAGACGGGCAGCCCCCGCGTGGCTCCCCGACTGCCCTGTCATTACCTAGGGCCGTGCACCGCCCCCTCGCCGCTCGCCACCAAAACATTTAGGTAAAAGCTGCTCCGCGGGGCACCTCCCTTCCCCGGAGCCAGTCTGCGACCATTACCCGCACGTGCTGTTCTGGCCGTCCGCCTGTCCCGGGGCTGAACTGCACCCCCCGCCCCCAGCCAGGACCAGCCCTTGGAAAGGAGAGGGCACGCTCTCCCCCAGTCACTCTTCCTACCGTTTGCTACCCTCTGAAACAGAAAGAGCTTCCTTATAGCGAACTCAGTCCCTCTGTCTGAAGCTAAAAGCCGAATTTCAGTTTGTTGTCCCCTGAAGGATGTGTATGGGGAAGAGGGAGTGGTGCGCTGCCAGTAAAATGTTCCTTTTGTCAGCTGTTGAGCGAGGTCCCAACAGATACCGAGCTTCCAGAATGCCTTTGACAGGAGTGGAACAATGCAGGTGGGAGATCAGAGAACTGGAGGCCCGGCTGTGTCTTTTTTCCTTCATGGGGTTTTATTGGGGTGGAGAGAAATCCCACTATGTGGGTTCTGGACTTGACTATCACAGCATCACAGGAAGATGCCTTTGAAGGGGAGGACCTCGTTGGCTGTAGCCCTGGACTGGGCACTGAGTCCCTGGGACCCAGTGCTGGCCCTGTCACCAACCAGGTGTGATGGGAAGCAAGCCCCTTCCATATCCTGGGCCTCTGTAAGGAGTTGGCCAGGGCATCTCTAAGGGCACGGGAGCTGGGAGGCCAAGAAGAGAGGGAAGCAGAGAAGGCCGACAGGAGCAATGGAGCCCCTGGGGGTGGCCCCCCCCGGCTGGGGGGGTTAAGGTGCAGGAGGGAGCAAAGTCAAGAACTTTCTGAATCACAAAACAAGTTTCACTTCGAAACTCTCAGCACTCACTCCTCCAACAGGTGACCCTCTTAGCACCCCAGTGGCTTTCCCAAGCCTTTGGCATATCCACGTTGTGGCCAGCAGGGAGACTAGGGTAGAGTCCTGGGTCCCTGAGCTGGTGTCCCCCCTGCTCCAGAAAAGAGGGCAGGAGTCAGAGGGAATCTCAGGTCAGCTGGAAAATTACAGAACAGGAGAGAGTGGACGATGGTATTTTCCAGGCTTGGGGAAAGAGCTCTGGGAGCAGGAGGGACTTGTCCGTCCTGCCCCAGAGGAGTAGCAAGCCCTCTCTGCCCCCTTGACTTTAAGCCAGGAGCCGACAGGCCTTATGCCTTGTGACCTGGGAAAGTGAGAGGAGGGCTCAGGGCAGTGAGCAGACAATGTGGTATGAGGTCCTGGACCCTATCCAGCAGTGGCCCCCTTAGTAAGTAAGTGCAGGTGACCCTTCTTTACCAAGCCAGGTAGAAGCCCTCTCCAGGGCCTGCCCACCCGGCACAGGGCACCACTGGGCCCTCTGCACTGAAGATGCGCCCTCCTCCCCTTTCTGCTGGCGTAACCTCATGTCACGATAATAATAATTAACTATTTTTGATGGTGCCAGGCACTTTCTACATGCTGTCCATGTCTTAGCTCACTCCTTCCTTATGACAACTCAAGACTCCAGTTCCGTTTTCGGATAAAGAGACTGAGGCAATCCCATAGTCCAATGACGACTCCACACCTACCCATTGTCTCTCAGCTCCAGAAACAAGGCAGAGGCTCACCAGTGACTTCAGAGTCTTAGAGAAAGTCCTGACAGCTATACTACTTCTCACATTGCTGGGTCCTTTTGCACAAGTGGCCCCTTCTCTAAGCCTCAGTTCCCCTTTAAGTCTACTGTAGGCAAACCACCATGTCCCTTTCCTTCCTCCCTGCCCCCCCCCCCCCACACACACGCACACAGGCTACTCCCTAGCCACTTCCCATTTATAGGAAATGGGGGATGACGTGAGGAGCAAGGCCATCCTTGGGGAACAGCTAATAGTCTGGCTGGATATTGGAGAAACCAGAGATGCTGGCAAAAATGCATTAGCAGCTTCTGCTCCAGCCCCCACCCACAGCCCCTTCCCATTATTCCTGGGCTCAGAACAAGCATCGTCCTCTTTCTACAGAGATAAGACACCCAACCGGGGCTGGGTAGCCTGGAAGAAGGCTGAGGAGGCATGAAGGACCTGGCTCCCCGTGATGTTCCATCTCGTCCTGCCATCTCCACCCTCCAATGACTGTGGCCCCTTAAAGGCCTCTTTGCTTCTTCCCCTGCTTGCCTAAGGATGAGGGGTGAACAGTCTGTTTAAGCGTAAAGGCCACCAGCAGGGCCGAATCCGGGTTGTGGGCTAGGAAGGGGGAGGAATGTGTCCCCTGGACACAGTAATTCCATCTATGGGATTTCCCTTGTGGCAAAACAATCGGTGACACAGTTGTCAGAAGTATGTACAAGGTGTTCATCTCATCGTTCTTCATAACCGTGAAAAACTAGAAACAATTTAAATGGCAGAATAATAAGCCATTGGCTAAGCAATTTATGGCAAATCCCTATAGTGGAACATTATGCCACCATTAAGAATGGTGATAACATAGACGGATTTTATTTTATTTTATTTTATTTTAATTTATTTAAAGATTTTATTTAGGGGCGCCTGGGTGGCTCAGTTGGTTAAGCGACTGCCTTCGGCTCAGGTCAGGATCCTGGAGTCCCGGGATCGAGTCCCACATCGGGCTCCCTGCTCAGCGGGGGGGTCTGCTTCTCCCTCTGACCCTCCCCCCTCTCATGTACTCTCTCTCTCTATTTCATTCTCTCTCTCAAATAAATAAATAGAATCTTTTAAAAAAAGATTCTATTTATTTATCTGAGAAAGAGCACAAGTGGGGCCAGGGGCAGAGGGAGAAGCAGGCTCCCCACGGAGCAGGGAACCAGATGGGGAGGGGGTGCTTGATCCCAGGACCCTAACATCGTGACCTGAGCTGAAGGCAGATGCTTAACTGACTAAATCAACCAGACTCCCCCAAAGATTTTATTTTTAGGGAATCTCCACACCTAATGTGGGGCTCGAACTCATAATCCATAGACCAGAGACTAAGAGTCATATACTCTACCGACTGAGCCAGCCAGGCATCCCCCTGTAGAAGAATTTTTTTTTTAAGATTTTATTTATTTATTCATGAGAGACAGAGGAGGAGAGAGAGAGAGAGGGAGAGAGAGAAAGAAGCAGAGGGAGAAGCAGGCTCCCAAGGAGCAGGGAGCCCCATGCGGGACTCGATCTCAGGACCCTGGGATCAGGACCTGAGCCGAAGGCAGACACTCAACCATCTGAGCCACCCCGGCGCCCCTCCCTGTAGAAGAATTTTAATTGACAGGGAAACACTGATGATATATTACCAATGAAAATAGCTGACTACAAAATAGCATGCACAGTGGGATATACATTTTTTTAAAAACTTAGGTATATACTAATGCAATGTGGCATCTTGGATTGGATCTTGGGCTAGAAGAGGGGCATTAGTGGAAAAACTGGCAGAATCTGAATAAAATCTGCACTTTAGTAAATAGTACTCCACCCGTATTAATTTCTCAGTTTAGATCATTGTACTGTGGTTACATTAACGTCAGAGGAAACTAGTTGAAGGTTATACGGGAACTCTGTATTATCTTTGCAACTTTTTTTTTTTTTTTTAAGATTTCACTTATTGATCTGAGAGAGAGAGAGGGAGCACAAGCAGAGGGAGAGGCAGAGGGAGAGGCAGAGGGAGAGGCAGGTTCCCGCCGAGCAGGGAGCCCGATGTGGGACTCGATCCCGGGACTCCAGGATCATGACCCGAGCCGAAGGCAGTCGCTTAAGCAACTGAGCCACCCAGGCGCCCTATCTTTGCAACTTTTTTGTAAATATAAAATTATTCCAAAGTAAAAGTTTTTAAAAATTAAGTATATATTGGGGTGGTAGAGTATGAGGACTCTTACTCTCAGGGTCGTGAGTTCAAGCCCCATGTTGGGCTGGAGCCTACTTGAAAACAAACAAACAAATAAACAAGCAAAAACCGTAAGTATATGTCTATGTGGAAGAAATGATTAAAAAAAATAATAACCAGGGATGCTTGGCTGGCTCAGTTGGTATAGCATGTGACTCTTGATCTCTGGGTCATGAGTTCAAGCCCCACAATGGGCACAGAGCTTACTTAAAAAACATAAATAAGGGGCACCTGGGTGGCTCAGTCGTTAAGCGGCTGCCTTCGGCTCAGGTCATGATCCCAGGGTCCTGGGATTGAGCCCCGCATCGGGCTCCCTGTTCCACGGTAAGCCTGCTTCTCCCTCTCCCCCTCCCTCTCCCCCTGCTTGTGTTCCCTCTCTTGCTGTGTCTCTCTCTGTCAAATAAATAAATAAAATCTTCTAAAAAAAAATAAATAAATAACCAAAAGGTGAACACTGGTTTTCTATAATTGGGAAGGGTGATTTTGATCTGGGGGTGAACACTAGGGAAACTTCTGTATCTCCGTGTTTCCTATATGGATCCCAGATTGCTTTTGTAAATAGAAAGACTCAATAAACACCATTTAAAAAAAAAAGATTTTATTTTTTTATTTGACAGAGAGAGAGACAGCTAGAGAGGGAACACAAGCGGGGGGAGTGGGAGAGGGGGAAGCAGGCTTCCCGCTGAGCAGGGAGCCCGATGCAGGGCTGGATGTGGGCTGGATGTGGGGCTCGAACCCAGGACCCTGGGATTATGACCTGAGCCGAGGCAGACGCCTAACGACTGAGCCACCCAGGCGCCCCAGCACCATTTTTTTTAAAAAGGAAA